ATTATAAATTATGTATGGAATTTATAACAAAATGAACTATCATTTTAGGTTATTACCTTAAAGTTTTTTTTTATTGATTATTCTACCGTGCATTTAAGAACTCAAATTCACTGAAAATCAAATAATAATGATGATGATTACCCAATGAAAAGTTCTCCAATTTAGGTATTCACATTTGATAAAAAAGAACTTTGCAAAAGACATGATGTAGGCCATGTTTAGGTTATGAAAAAAAGTATAACAAACTCAAAATATGTGTTTAAGGGTGATCAACCAATGATTTTTTTTTTTTTCATAAAGACGTTTGTCATTTCTAGTTCTCAATCATTTATTTTTTTTAATCTTTTCATTTTTTTCATTTCTTTTTCTCTTTCTTTATTTTTTCCTTGCATGTTTTCATTTTTTGATAGAATGAATTCAAAATTTTTGAACTTAACTTACTTCAATAAGGCATTCTTTCCTAACATAGGATCCAATGTTTTCTTAATGAAATCTTTATTTGAACTTACCCCCTAATGTGGAGGGTGATTCTTGATTAGAGTTCATTTAAAAAGAAAAATCATTAAGTTCAAATTGGGTAGCAAATGGATTATTTCTTATTTTTTGAAAGGAAACATGAAAAAAAAGCCACTTATCATATTAAATGTGGAAACTTCCATTGAAGAACGATCTAGAGAGAAGATTTTGTTTTCTTTTCTCTTTACTTTTGGAATCATTTGAATATTTTACCTGCATGATATTAAAATCAACTCTTTTCTTTTCATCTTTTTTTTTGCCTTTTTTTTTTTATAAAAGTGTAAGAGCTTATCTAAATAAAGTTGTAAACTTCAAGAGCATTTTTATTATTTTGGCCAAAGTGGAAATATAAAATTAATTGTTAGATGAAAAGCTTGCTAAACAATGAACTTGATATCGTTGAAGAACTTCTAGTGCACCAATGATTGTTTATCTTTCAAGCCTTGTATTGAACTAAAGATAGAGTTTTCAAAAGATCAAAGGGCACGGCTTCAACGCATGCTGCAAATGCCATTTTCTTTAAGACTTATTTCCTCCCTATTAGTTATGATATGTTAAAAGTGTAACTGAAATGCCTCTAGGATACAACGAAGTATAATTTGACATCACCTTGCACTTGTTATATCAAACCACTAAACTTCTTTGATATAAGATGAAAATACCTTACTTTGAACAAGATTTTCTACAAAAATAATGTAAAAAACACTTTGATTCTAATTGGAAAGAGAATTGTAGAAATAAGAGAAGAATGTCAGAATTTTGGATGTCTTCTAAATGAGTTCCAAACATCTCTATTTATAGAGATTAAAACCAATGGTTGTGATCTTTTAATTGTGTTGTTTCAATGAACAATAATTTTATTTAATCAAGAACACATCTTTCTGGATAATTACAGATGTAATTATTCATATGAAAGATTGTTTGATTCATTCAAAGAGAAACCACTTTTCATTTTTCGAAAAGTTACAACATTTCAACTAGAGTAGTTGACCTTAGAGGCAATCGACTACCTCTATGTATTTTTTCACTTCTAGAATGATTTAACAAACAGGGCAATCGACTGCATCCTTATGTAGTCAACTTCCTTTATATTCCAAAATGTTTCCAACACAAGGTCAGTCGATTCCCAGCTTAAAGTAATCGACTTCCTTGATCAAATTTTGAAATAAAAGACTTTCAAAACTTAATGGTCGATTGTCTTAGGTTAAGCAACTACCTTGATTTCTACCCAAAGTAGTCAATTGCCCTAGAGTAAGCGGTCAACTACTCCTCTGTTATCTTTGAACAAAATTGTATTGAAACTTTGTATTTTTCTAGAGTGCATGGCAATCGACTCATTTTGCATGAAAGTCGACTCCTCCTTTTACAAGTCTTCTCCGATTTATTCTTTTTATCTTTAGAATCAATCTATTGACCATTGGACTTTACTTAAGCTATTTTATAGCTTAATTTAGTTTCTCTTTTTATTAAGACCTTTTACTTAATCATTAATCTTTCATATTTCCAAAATTATGTATTAATTAATTTAATAAAATATTTTACGAATATATCTTGTCTACATATAAAAGAATCTCATTACTTAAGAAATAATCTCAAATAATATCATAATCGTATTATAATCTTAATTATTATTTTAATTATAATATAATAATCCTTTGACTTCGTCATTAAGGAATATTACATAATACTATATTAACAATGTATAATAGATTATTAGATAATGTTTAGGGTTTTCCTTCACGTGTATATCTATAATAGATGTGGTTTCAAGAGAAACTTTCATTCTTGCCATCTTTTCCAATGTGGAAGCTTACCTAACATTTTTAATTCAAACATTCAACTACATGTCATCCAAATCATCTGCTTAATTATCATACTGTATATGTTCATGTGTGTAATAATACAGTCCTAGCTAGTGGTGGATATATATCATTTTGGACAGTGCTCTAAGAGTAATTACATCATTACTTTTTTAGCTTTCTTTTTCATTAATGTTTAGATTTTATTTAAGATTTCATCTTTAAAGTTTCCAGTTTGAATTGATTGTTATTATATAAAAAAAAAATTATATATAAAAAATTATATATACAAAGACAGTCATGAAGTACTTAATTTTAGATTCCATGTAGCTGAACTAACTAAATCGTATTTAGAGAAACTTAAAAGCTAATTAGGAAAAAATAGTTCGATTAATTAATGAGATGCAGGCAGCTAGACTTCAAATTGTAGGATGAACTTTTTATTAAAAAGAAAGGTTGGGTCATCCACTGCCATAACATGAAACTTAAATGTTTATTTATTTCACATTCAAGTTGTATGATAAATTACCTAATATGTCACGGCACAATTCCTGAACAAATTTCTGTGCTCTCACTTAAGTTGTGATGTCAACTTCAGGTATTTTATCAAGTTTACATATCTGTCCCATTTCAGGGAGGAAATAAATACATAAATCAATTATCGACCATCAACCAAATTTTCTACAGAGTTTCCAGTGGTTATGGAGAACAAATACATTAATGCATTACCTTTCAGAAGATTATTAATATTTTAGCTCGGAAAAATAACTTTAAATTGTCGATGTATTTTTTGGACGGTGGGTGATTGGAAGTCTACTGAAAGTTGATTGAATGGTCTATTTGGCAATTGGAGTAACTTGTTTCAAAGAGAACGGTTAAGGGGCATCAATGGTAATATTTCAAGGTGCTGTCCGACGCTCAAATTTGCAATTTGTGAGAGCTTAGGGAAAAAAGGAACCAGGAAGTGAGAGAGATGGAGGTTGGAGAAGGTAGAAAGGGCCTGAAGGATTCTTGAATAAATTATCTATGATCCAATCTTATCTTTTATACTGAATTTGTATTGATGTGATCAGTTAAATTACTTGATATGATCAATATTGGACCAGTTGAGTTAATCGCCAACATTATAGCTAACAAATACTGACTTAACAGTCAAGATATTGATATGACAATCAAAGTATAATAAAACTATAACTACTTTCTTCTTCTCTTTTTCTCACGTGGCTCACATGGAAAAGACCATAGATAACAATTATTCCTACTTAGAACCAATTGGGTTTCAATTTTCTAGCAACTAAGTAGATTCTAATTCACTTAGGTTTCTTTGTTTGTTAGTAAAAATCAAAGAACATTCATCTTAAATCAATACCAGCTGCCCCAGTTATCACCCAAGTTGATTGCAAAATATTATTGAGTACCAAATAAGCCTAATGACCACACCGATAAGGAGATCCAAGTATTAGTATCATATTAGGTATTTAAACATATTTAATATTATGTATGCTTTGTCATTAGCAATTTTGAATCCGCATTAACTTTGATCATATACTAGTATATAAATAACTAATCTAATTAGCATGGAGGGTAGCAATTCAAAAATTCATATGGGGGCATATATATAATATTCTAAAATTAGACCCTAAGCTTAATTGCACTTGTAAATTAATAACAAATGTACTATGCTCTTTTTGGTACATTAGGTGTATCATTATTGAGCAAGGTAACTGCTTACGTTAAGACATTTAGCTGTAAAGAAGCTTATAAATGACCCCATTTATTGCTAAAATATTCCAAGTTTAATCAACATTCAACAGTTGATCTGCATTTCATCTTTTTTTTTTCCTGTTGCGTGCATCCAAATCTAGGGTTGTGCAATGGTCCAGGGTTGTTCATAGGTCATCATGAACTGACGGTTTTAGATGGATTTAAGGTGATCTGGAAGTTTAATGAGTAATCAATTGTCTAAATATTTTAGGACTAACACTGTTAAGAATTAATTTTATAATTTTACGTAAGTGATTCAAGAGAGTGATGGATTGATTTATAATTTAAAATTTAAAACAATTTTGTATGAATAAAACTAATCTTATATGAATAATCCATAATCTTAATTTTAAGATTGTTAATTGAATCATACACGATCTTATCCAAATGTATTTTTCATTCGATACTAAAAAGGGGGAGAGAGATTTTCATTAAGAATTTTAAAGATATATTGTTCCCAACTTCCCTAACAAAGAGTTTAATGTCATGTCAAAATTTTTGCTCAATGCCTTAAATATTCCAAGTTTCGGAGTAAATACACTGAGTTTTTGTGTACGGATGTATAGTAACTCTTATTAATAACATTTTGATGAGTTAAATTGGACAAGAGACCGTTCCTTGAATAGATAAGCTATGATGCATTAGAAGCAAAAGGACAAAAAAAGGGTGTGATATTTTTGAAGCTGATTATTAATCATCTGTCTAAAAGCTAGCCAACCTTGAGGTAACATTAAAACTCTAGAAAAACAAGTGTCATAGGATAATTCCACTCTAGTTAGACCAATGTATTTTGGGAATCCCAGGAAAGCTGCTCCTGCCTCGACCTAGCTACTTTTTATCTTGGGGTTTTTTGGTCAGAAGTTATGGCCTTGAATATGCCCCCAAAAGGCTAAATCTCAAGGACAAGAAATGTAAAAAGAGATGAGTGTGGGAAGACAAGCAGAAGTAGCAAAAACACACTTAATGGGGTATATGGAAGAAAAAAGAGGCACATGGACATTGGGTGTTCCTCTTAAGTTTCAATCAAAATGTTTGACAAAACATACACCTCCACCTCTTTTTTTTTTTTTTTTGGCATAGGACACCTTAATCTGAGATTAAAAAATAAAAATTATAAATATTAAAATTCAAATATCAAATTGATTAAATATCATCTTTTATAAATAATTATATAAATTAATTAAATTAAATATTAGTTTCTATCTCTTTTTCTTTTCCCTTTCTGTCTCTTTCTTATCTCTCCAAGCCTTCTAATATTAAGACCTTGTAACGGTAAACAGTGTTACTTGCATAAATTCGAGCTTTAGATTGCTGAGAGCATTTATTACAATATACATCAACATTTCACCTCACTTTCTATTAAACCCTTTTCCTCCTGGATCATCAAAACCAAGAGTAAATTCTCAAACATCATATTCACCTCTCATAAGCTTGGAGCCTCCAAAATCTGAGATATCTCTCTTTGAAACTTCAAGGATCATATCATTATCAAATGGCCCAGCTGCAAGTCTGAGAACCTCGATGGATAGCCAGATGAAAGGAAAGCAACCAGAAGAAAAAGACCATGAGCACCAAGAAGATGTAAACTATGATCTTCTGTTGGATCTGAGCTTCTCCAGCAAAGATGATTCGGATTCGAATCAAGAGCTGAAGCCTGAACTCAACCTCATCGACTGTTTCAAGACGGAATCACCCGATGATCAAGATTCTTTGGAAAATCCTCATCAAGGTAATGAAACTGAGCCTAGAGTATTTTCATGTAACTATTGCCAAAGAAAATTTTATAGCTCACAGGCTCTAGGAGGGCACCAAAATGCACATAAGCGAGAAAGAATATTAGCGAAACGAGGACAGCGGATTGGTGCAGTCTCTTTTTCAGCTTTCAGTCACCCTAATACACATCTTAGGCGATATTCTAGCATGGCTTCCCTTCCTTTGCATGGTTCTTTCAATAAATCACTTGGAATTCAAGTGCACTCTATGAACTACAAGCAATCTTTTGTTCCATCAGCACATATTTATGGGCATAATAGATGGTATAGATCCCCTATTGATCAAAAACTGCCAATTGCTCATCTTTCAATTGAGAATTCTCATGTAGGAATTAATGGTGAATCATCAGCAAGTGGTGATGCTGCAAGATTCGAAAGTAGTGTACGAAAGTTTGGTCCAGCAACGGAGGGGATGGGCACCGATCAAGATGAGTTGAAGCTTGACTTGTCTTTGAAGCTCTAAGTAGTCTAGTTTAATTCTTCCTTCTTGTTTAATTGTTCTTGTTTTTCTAGAGTTTTTTTCTTTGATTTTTAATTGCATCTTTTGTAATTGCATTTTGGTTTCAGAGGACTTGAAGAGATTTTGCTATTGGCAATTCTAAAGTTGGAAAAACTTTCCCGATTCTACAACTTTGAGGCTTGAAAGTGTGAACTTCAAAGTTTCCTTATGCGCTCTAATGTGCTAGCCAAATCCATTCCACTAAGTTTTCTTTGATTAATCTATTTCAGTATGGACGATTCTTCATTATTAAGTAAATATACTTTCAGGGACAAATACGTAGTCATTTTCATTTTGAAAGCTTAAGATGTGAAGGGACTTTAGCTATTAAAGATTGCTTTTCACACTAACACAATAGAGATTTTTATATGCATTTGAGCTAGGTTTTGAGTTTCTCTAGTGCATGAAGAATATCCAAATTATTATTATTTTTTGTCATTTACAGTCAAATGTAAATTAGGGTAGTGTGACATTTGATCAAATAGATTGAATTTAGACCTATTCTTTAAATGCTTATTTCATACCGATTCAAAATTCAAATTTGAACGATAAAATTGTAACTCTTTACGTGTTAATTTTTTCAACCAAATTATCTTTTCATTAAGTTCATGTCTTTTAGAACTAAATAGGTGACATTTGCAACCCTTTACTAGTGAAAGAACACCTTATGAAAAAGTGATAACTCATTTGAAACTAAACTAGCCATTAGCCCATTATAGACAAAGTTGTCGAATTTGAACTAGATCACTTTGTAATTTTGTTCCAAATCACTTTCCTAGTCATGATTTGAATGCACACTCAAAGGCACTCAAATGCCTTAAAATAAAATCATACTAAAGGACTTCCCACACATGGCATGCGAATGCTTTTGGTCAAGCATCCAAATGTTTTAGTATAAAAACATTCCTAAAGTTAGGAAATTTAGTTAGCAATTGAAGAGAGAAAAACAAAGAATGGTAGGGAAAGAAAAAGTCACAAGTTTTATTAATAATCTTCCTTAAAATATTCATTGGAGATGGTTAGATCATGTATTTCAAAGATTTAGGTATGTAGACGATGTTTTAATTTCTCGCAATAAAAGTAGAATTGGAAAAAATATCAAATTTGGTCAGATTCAGAAACTTGGAGAGGTGAAGATAGCAATCATAAATCTCAAGTGAACATGGTTATTGGATCACAAAATCAATGTTACTATTGCAAGGTTCAGTCAAAGAATATATTTTTAGAGAAATCATAAAATCCATGATGTTTAAACGAAGACATCAAAGAAGCAATATGGTAGTGATAATCAGTATGAGAGGAGGTTTGTAAATATAGTAGTGAATCAGAGCAAAAGTAATGTTCAAAATACACTTGTTAAAGATATTTTACAAGATGTCCAATCTTTCCTTTCTTCAGAATCTGGTCAACAACATTGTTATAATCCTATAAATATGAGGAGAACATTGTGTGTTAGGGAAATAAACAATAAAACACTACATTGGCTATCCAAAACAATGGTGGGTGTCTTTAAAAGCTTTTATTGAAAGTAATATAATAAGTGAGCAGTTCAAAATGGAAGGAGTTTGCTGATTTAAGGGTAAGAAATTATCAAGAAATAATTTTTTATCAATTTTGAGGATTTTGGAATGTTTGAAGATACGTAGATGGATGACAAGACATTGCTAAAATGGGTTATTGCATGTAAAACTGTGGTCAACAAAGTTTAAACTCATGAAAAGACAAATTTGGATGACTATGTACTGATGTCTTGGTGCATGCTTGGAACTTGAATAGTTTGAGATTAAAGACAACTTATGGGATGAGTGTATCTTTATGGATTCTCAAACTTTAAGATTTCAATATTTCCTTCAAGGTGTAACGCTCATATATATAGATTCATTACAAAAATATTAAAGAATTCATTGATTTAAACATTGGTGACAAAGTATACATAATGAGAGTAAGTGAGATTGATTCTAAACTAGTTTCAAAGTTTCATAGTTACGTTACATCTCAAAAGTGTGAAGACGTTAAGGATACCAAATAGGTATCTAGTTCTAGCGAAGATGAATAGTCAATAAAGTGTTATATATCTTTGGAAGATGATGGGATCTCCATAGGAAAAGATGTTAAAATGGTTGCTAACTCAATAGAAGACAAGGAAAAAAATGCCTTTCAATTATATGCTAATATTCAATGTAGTAAAGAGAGAGACATGAAAGGTGAATCAGAGTCAACTAATGCAGTTTGTATAGATATTGATGCTTTTATAGTTAAAGAATATAAGGTGCCTAAGGAGTCGTTAATTGATGATTTCGATTGGCCTAATAACATGGTTGATAATCTGAAAACAACAAGAATAAGCAAAGATTTGAATGAGTACGAAAACATATCAGACATAAAAGAGGATATTGAATTAAGATCACCTTTTTTAATATTAAGGCTTGAGAATGATGAAGCCTATAGGAAGGATGTTATGGATTCTTATTAAGCTGTAAGAGTTAAGATGAAAATAAGTAAAGAGTCCAAACCTTTTTTGGCAATGTTAATGGGCAAAAAGTTTTATAACAGATTACTTATTTTTATCAAGGTACTCAAATTGTGTACTTGATACAAGGGATACAAAATTAAGTTGTTATAAGATATTGAAGAAGAATTCCTTAATAAACTAACAAAGAAAGATAAAAAGCATAAGAAGAAGATGTGTAAGAAGTTAAAAAAAAAAGTGTGAAGAATTAAGGAGAGATAATTATGATTGAATCTTTATTGATGATGATGTTCAAAATATAAATAAGGTTCTATTAAAGGAAACACAAGAAACATGAGGATTATTTAGTCATTAAGAAGCTACAAGAGATGATAGATAAGGATTAGAGGTGTGTTAATTAATTTCTATGTTTTCTCCTTTTATTATGAGTTCTTTTGTTTATTAGCTATGAGATATTGGAAAGTCTAAATAGGTTAGATGGGTAGTAGGCAGTGGCTTGGAACGTTAATTAAATGATGTTTGTTAGTGGAAGGAATGGATGGTTATTAGAATATTTGTGTCTTTATGAAAGACGCCTTTGATTTGAATAATTAATAATAAATGGCCTAAAGTTCAAATATATGATTGGTTTTTATGTTGAGTGAATATATGTTTGGTATTGTGTGGATTGATACTAAGTAACAAGTTTGAATTTTTGTATGTGATGTGTAACTATTTATAAAGATTAGGTGTAGTTGATGACAGGTTGGTGATGGGTTATTTGATGATCCTGCTTTGTGTAGGGGTGATTCTAGTGTAAATGGTAACTTTGGTAGTTTAAGTTTCTTTTGTGTTGGATGTGAAAGGAGGCTAGGTTCTTGGTATATTTAAGTTTATGGGATAAGATTGCTATATTCAAGTCATTATGGTATTAAAATTATAGAGTAATTATGATTGTTCTATGTGGTGTGGAGAAATTATGATGGTTATGGATGAAATGGTTGTATTAATGGGGTTTGTTTTATTACTAGACTTTATATTGTAAGTTTAAGGTGTATTGAAAGCGAAACTCATGCAAGATATAAATGAACATACATATATACCTTCTTATTTAGCATAAGTAAAAATGAAAACTGGACTTGAATTATTGGTCATTGAATAAGATCATAGTATGAAAAATTATTTGGTTTCATAGCATAGATCTTTCAATCACAGAAAGCAAGAATTCCTTTTACAAGTTGTTTCACTATTGATCTTTTTATCCCTTTCTCTTTGTGTTTTTCTTTTATGTGAGGAACTTTTCTCTTTTGGTATGTTTTGCTAATGGCTGAATGCCATATATTTCACAAGAGATATAGGCAGCAATTTATTGGTTTTAAAAACCAAAATTTAATTGTCTAAAGACAATTCATTTTTAAGAAACAAACTGCCTTATAGTAGTTATTGATAGATGGGGTGCTTAGGTCACCATTATGGGTGGACTTGACCCATTTTCTTAATCTCCCATTCATATAGAATGGGTGCCAAACTTTTATAATCTCGAAAATGTTTTCGTTATTCTTTATACTGGGTTCATATAAAGAAATAAGCCTTGTGATCAGTTTACTTTGATAGTTTAATTGCTATACGACTTTTAGGTGCATATAATAGCTCATAATCACATTTAGTCACTTATATAATTATTAGATAAGTATAGTAACTCTCAAGTATAAATAGAGTAAGTATGTAGCATCCTAGATCCATTTAGTCACAATTCAAGTTCCTCACAATTTTTTTTTTATCATATTGCCTAATATGCTTGTGTATTCACAATTATGTTCAATGTTTCAAACATAATTAGTCGACTTGTGAATATAACTAAATGCGATACAAAAAGATCTTCTCTTCTTCTATAAATTTCTCCATTCAATTCAACTGCTATCCAATATGTCCTATTAGGTCAAATCATCTATAATCATTGGTAACATTCCAATATAACTAACATTAAACTGAAACTTTAAGAAATAGTGAAAAGTTTTAAGGGGTGTTAAATATGAGATCTTCTGATCTCAAAGGTCTTATACGACAATAAGCAAAGATCTATTCTTCTGTTATCTTTGTTGATCGAATAATGCACATATGGTATGAAATACATGTTATGGTATTACTTTCTTTTTCCTAAAGGGTAATGTTTTTCATCATTTGTATTAATACTGTACAGGTGATAAATTAGATACTCTTAGTATAACTTAAGTTCACAACTCTACTTAATTTTACATAATCAATTAGACTTCCACCTAGGATATTAAGACATACAAAGTAAATTGTGGGTTTATTCACTTTTGGCCACAAATTCTAATATCAAGTGACTTCATCATAATTCCTTATCAAGGAGATTCTATTTAAAGCTTGGGCTCTCAATTCATAGCTTTAACATAATCTTATCTCTATGGTGCCAAACCATTAAGGCAATTGCTTGTGCAAGAAAGCCAATAATCTATCTAACATATTTTTTAAATCTTATCATATTATACATATATATGTGTGCATGCATCACAAAATAAAGTACTAAACTTTAATGACATTAAATGTATTCAATACAAGTCAACTCAAATGGGAAAATGTCATACATTATTTAAAATAAAACTATTCAATTAGTACATGTCCATTAATATTTATGCAACCTTAGATATCTTATGTGGTTATTAGACACATATTTAGGTATGACCTTAGTAAATAGATCTGTAAACATCTTAT